CCCGCCCTCCCCCCCCCCGGTGGGATGCCCCCGCCACGAACCCAACCACTCCGGTTGGCAGGGGGACCTGCTGGTGCCACCCAGGGGGCAGGACAAGGGATGTGCAGCAGGTGCAGCCCTGAGGAGCTCCCGGAATGAACCCGAATGCCCCCCCAGTCCTCAAGTGGTGCAAATCCTTCAGGATTTGCAGATCCCTTGGAATTAGCAGCGACAAAACCCAAAAAGTGGCAACAAACCCCAGCAGATTTGGGCTGAGGGCAGCCCCCGCCCCAGCTCCGTGCCCTCCTCCAAGCAGTACCTGTCCCCAGGCCGGGCTGGGCCACAGGGTCCCCACCAGCGCATCCCGCATGGTCCCTGCGCCCGGAGCGGCTCCGCTCTCCGCTGCGGCGTCACCCGGCTCCCGGGGAGGGGTTTGGAGCCTCCGCGGGTGTTGGCATCCGAGGGGGCAGGCGGAAAGGACGCCGCGGGCGGTTTTCCGCCCCCCCAGCCGGCTAGGGAGCCAGCTCGGAGCTTGGCTCCTGTGGGAATGCGCTCCCTCCCCTCCCTTCCCCAAGCAGGTTTTCCCCGGCAAAGGCGGCTCCGTCCCCAGCCCCGCCGCCCCCGGCTCTGCCCCGGAGCTGCCGGCACTGAGCGCGTGGGAAACACCTGCCCCGGATCAGACCCCGGCGCATCCGCCAGCCCTGCGATGATCCGGCACGGAGACCCCCCAGATCCCAGTGGGAACAACATGCCCCCGACTTGCGCCTTGCCAGATCCCAGGCTGGAATCCAGGCCTGGCAGCAGCTTTGGGGGCTCCCCATGTATCCCTGTTCCCCCCCAGCCCCCCCACTTTGGGGACACACAATGGACAAGTGGGAGGCTCAGTCCCAGCTGCCGGGTGGGATTAGGGGGCCGACAGCTGAGCCGGGCAGCACACGGGGCGGATGAACGGGAGCAAAACGGAGTGCCCAGGAGCAGGGGACAAGCCACCCTGCTGTCCCCAAGCGCGGTGGGTTGTGTCCTCCACTGCCCTCTCTGGTCATCGCACAGTCCCCCCCACCTGGGGGGATGCGGGTGGGATGCGGCAGGGGGAAGAGGCAGGATTTTTGATTTGGGAGAGGGCAAGAGGGACGGGAAGAGGGGGGGACGGGCACCGCGCCAAGCAGCCCCGGGCGCAGCCGCGGCGCCAGGGGCT